GGGCCCCCAGTGCCCGGCCGCGCGCCGCCAGGAGAGGGCGCGGCGCTCATCTGCCCGCGGGCGGAGTTTGCTGCAGCCCTGGCCGCGAGACTCTCGAGCAGCCGGCTGGGGTTGGACTGGGCTGGGCGGCCCGGAGGGCGCGTGCCGGGAGTCACGCCGGCGCCGGTAGCGGAGCGCCGCGGGGAGAGCGCCATGGACCCCAAGACCGGCGGTGGCGAGGAGGATGACTGCGTGGACTCCGGCGCCGAGACCGGCGGGTGAGCGGAGACGGGCGGGGCTGTTGGCGCGGGAGCTCTCCGAGTTGGCCGCGGCCCCCCTCGGCCTGGGATCTTTCGGGACCCCGGAGCTGAGCCTCAGACTCTGTGGCAGGATGGCACCGCGCGGGCTCTCCCTCCTGCCGGCTTCCCGGAGGAAGCTGGAGGGGGCCGTGGCGGTCCATTCTCCCCAGGGCCGGCCCTGGAGGCAGAGCCTCGGGGACGGACCCTCGCTACTCCCCGCACGGCGGGCCCACTGGGGGAGGGGGTGAAAGTGGAAGGACTCCGGGGCTCAGTGGAACCTGCTCCCCTCCGCGCGCGCGCGCGCACACACACAGCTACCACCACCCCACCCCACCCCTTTTGCTCTCGGTTAGTGCCGAGCTAATGTGGAATGCCAGGCCAATGCAGGGTCCCCGGTTATCACGATTAGAGATGTGAGATGCTCTTGCGCTTCTGTTAGACCTTATGCTGGACTTACTTTGGCCCAATACCTGGAGCCCTCTCGAGGCCAGGTGGGGGTTTGGGAGTGGAAAGAGGGGAAAGGGCATCTGGCGCCTTCATGTCTTTCAAAAGACTTAGATGTAAGAGAATAGGTTTTTCATTTTATATCAGTAGCTTGACTGTGCCCAGGACAAACTCTCCCCCATCTTCCCGCACGCCGCTCACCTGTACCAGCTGAACCCACTTGCCTTGAGCACAGGTGGCATGAAGACGGTGCTTCTTTAAAGAAATCTTTTGCTTCGACCCAAACAATAGCAAAAACCTTTGGAGACTAATTAGCCTTCTTTCAACAGCGTTGTTTTCCTGAGTGGGACAAAAAGATCGAGAGTCTTTTAGGAGATGAATATTGTTCTAAAGGTTTCCACCCTGCCCCTATCTTTAGAGAATTTTCCTGTGCAGTCAGCGCCACATCCAGGATGCCTTAACGACCCAGAAGGAAAGGGTGTCTTTTCCTATCTAAAGTAACCCGGGAGAGTACTGAAGCTGCCCGAGCTTACAGAAAGCCATCAATCCTGGAAGACCGGGGAGAGTTACACTGATCTCAGGGTTTGGCACCTCTATGAGGGCAGGAAGAGTCCAGGCCCACAATGAACCCAGGGTCTAGCATGACCCCAAAAAGGAAGCCCTTCCTGCCTAGCTCCACCCTTCCTTCCCCTCCTCCACCCCATATCTCTAGACCAAATTTTTATACCCTAAAGCATTTACAATGCAATGGGCTTTCCCTGTGACCCAAACTTGTGATCATTTATGGTTCACTAGAGAACCCAATTACTTTCTGGTGGGGTAACCTGATGCCAAATGCTGAACTCCCTTGCTTCCCCCCACACTTTGTATATGTAGCATTTATCAACTTTAATGGAAGATTCTTGGCATGTTTTGTTGTTCTGTCTCTAGCTGCACCATGAATAGAAGAAAACAAAATTAACCAACTCATATTCAGCTGGGTTAAATAAAGCACCACTAGTACATTCGTTTTCAATTTGCTGAGCTCACCTAATACTTTCCCAAGGACTTGCTCTTGAAGCAAAGAAGCTTCTGTCGGGGTGACATTATCCCAAGAGCCCACAGAAACATCCAACAGCCACTAGGGTGATCTGGAGGGGGTTACTGAAAATACTGACACCAGAGCTTCTGTTCTCTGCCTGTCACTAAAATGTGTAGTTGTAACAGGACAGAGTTGTTTAAATCTTATTGTCTCAGTAGCATCCTGAGCTAAAGATAAAGGTAAAAGAGCACTTTTTAAGTACAGTGGTTTCAGTGTATGTTTATGAACCTTGTGTTTGTCATATATTCTGTCCCTTGAAATTTAGTGTAGTTATCCAAAGGGCTATTCATAGTATTTCTGCTTTTCCAAAGCTTACCTCCTCTTACCCCATCTAGCTTTCATACCATAGCTACCAGTCACGATTGTGTAGAAAGCACTCAATAAATATTTGCTCTAATTACTATTAAGACACAAATCTTAATGTTTCTCCTTCCAAACTTGTAGTGGTTCTGTCATCTAAAAAGTGAAGAATGCCTAGTGTGACTTAGGAGCCCCAGTGTTATAGGGTCCCTCTCTCTCTGGTCTTGCTTCTTAGCTAGTCCATCTTTGCTCCCTGCATTTTATCACTCGGCAGGGTAGTTCAGATTCCTTGCCTCTGTCAAGGCAAACTGCCCTCTTTGCCAGCTGTAAACTTCTATGCCTGTCATGCTTGGCTACAGGTGAAACGCTTCTCTTCCAAGACTCAGTTCAAGTGACATATCTGTTAAAGCAGGAATAGTTCATTGGGGGGTCCATGAAGTGCTTCAAGTTGTTTCCAAAACGATATGCTTTGTAAATTTTTATGATACTTTTTTTCATCATATTTTCAAAATAGCCTGTGATCCCCTCCAAAGGGAAAAGATAGGAAAATAGGTTTCAAATTTTCCAAGAGATGGCAATTTAAATGGTTTGGGGGGCAATAATGAGTGAGAACCCAGTTGAGATTAGCAAATATAACTTCACAGGGACACCAGCCTCCTTTGCTATTAGTTTTCTTGTAGCCGTGCTCAGCCCCCTATGCGGAGAGAGATCACGAGAGGTGGGATGTCAAAGTTTGGGGGAGAGCGATTATTGTTAGGCTAGTGTGAACAAACAGGAGCAGGGGATTTGGTTGAGCTGACTAATGACTCCTTCAGCAGCATAATCGGAGACAGTTCCAAGAACTTTTGTGAGTCCTTCTGCCAGTGGGCAAACCGTGCCAATCGCTTTGAAAGTTGCTGTCAAAAGAGCCAGTCTGCTGGGATTCAGATTCTGACTCTTCTCTCAGAAATTGTGAAGCCTTGAGCCAGTCACTTACCCCCCTCTGCCCTCCATTTTCTTCTATGTAAAATGAGGATGATAATACTAGTACGCACTTCATAGGTTGATTGTGGTGATTAGTCTGTTTATCTAAAACTCCTAGATATAAGAAAACCCTTACTATATTATTTCTCATCATTCTTTTAGTAATATGAAAAACACTGGAAGTGATAAACTTAGCTTATAATAAAAATATATACCTTTAGGTAGGCTCAATACCATATATCTTTATATGCATGTGCTGATTCTTTTAAATGCTTTAAGCAATGTGATCATCACTAGACTGTCTGAGAAACTATGCAGCACACCTTAGTATAATTATTACAGTTTTACAGATAAACATTTGCAGGGAACAAGTTCAGAGCATTCATGGTTGGTGGTCAGTTGAAGCCTGGGTCTCCAGTGTGCTTCCCACCTAGTGAAGTTGCCTCTCAAGAAAACATCTGACCTGTAATTCTTGTTTTTTGCTGATGGTTTTTTGCTTGAAATGCTGCCTTTGCTGTCTGATCCACCTAATACCGGCAAAGACTAAGAGCAAACTGGTATCTTTTGTGGCAGTTGATGCCATTTTGGATCTCCCATTTTTCAAATCCACTTGAAATCAAGCCTTGTGTGTCTGTGTACTTTTTGTTAGAAGAAAGTCACAAATCAGCTACTGATGGTGACAAACTAGCTTAGGAAACAGAATCCCTTAATAGAGAGACAGTGTTGTTGTCATCCAAAATAAAAGACATAGAATGAACAAAACAAATGTTTTAGAATGGCTGTTTCATTAGTGGTATCTCAAGTTTTGGCTTTTAGGTCACTCTTTTGACCACGCTTGATGGATTATTTTCAGTCAAAAGTTTAGTCTGGCATTCATGGGCCTCTGCTTCCATCAAGCAGTCACCAGGCTTCTGAAGACATAGGGTCATAACATGCCCTTTATCTTTGGAAGCCCGACAGCTGATATGTTGCAGTGATTTAAGAAAATAACAATTCATTGGTCTAGGTGGGAAGGAAAGAATAGTGAAATAAATTTTAAATGGGACAGGTTTAAAAGACAAAAGTGAAAACCTTTCCTGGAAGACAAGCTGATCTCTTTAAGGTACTTGATGATCTTATGCTCCAGGTGGAGCTGGTTAACTAAATTACAATGGCATCAATGCAATGGACTGAAAGTTAGCAGATGGGATCCCCCATACATTCTGCTGATGTTTTACAGAGATGTCAAGATTAATTTTTAGGGCAGGATTTTCCTGGAAAAGAGAATTTATGAGGGTATTGCTAATATATTTGTTTATATAAACTAGCAAGTAGGCTCTCAGCAATGGTAAGTTATCTCAAGTGTGTAAAACTAATTTATACATGATCCCTACCTGTACAATTGTAATTAAAACATAGCAAAGAGATCACATCTGGCTTCCTGTTCACTATTGGCACATACTTAAATGTAATACTTAGCATCGTGCCTACTATATGTGTCAGAATGTAAAATATATATATAATCCTTAGAGTATTCTTATCTGTGTCAGGTGTTCATAAATTTTGAATTCATCTTCTGTGCTTCATTTTATGCAAAACCAGCAAGGTAAATGCTTAGGATGTGATATCAATGAAAGGATTCCCAAGTCAGGTGCTCTAACTGCTATTCCCTCCTACATAAAAAAAAAAATTGGGGGAACATACCCCTTTAAAGAAACATGGTATCTGGTTATTCCCGAAATTGTTTGAATTTATTTATGCCCCAAATTATTTTAAGCTTTATAATTTTTTTACTGACCGTCTCTTCAGTGAAAGATTTTCGTGGTTTGGAAAGCTAAAATTTTCAACCTTAATTTAGTCTTTCCTCTCAAGATAACTTTTCTAAGGAAGAGAAAATGAATCTAAAGTTGTATTTTTAATTATGTCACCATCCTGTGCTTTGTAAAAGTGAACAATCATTAGGGAAACAGTTGAATAAATTATCAGCAAATCACTTTAAAATTGTAATTACAGGAACTATGTAGCAGCAGGTAATGATGCTGTAAGTGTAAAGAGCAGCTTCAAGGTGCAGCTCCATAGTTATGGCACCTGTGTGCAAGGTACACAAACAGGATCAGGCTGGAGAGCAGTGCTGAAATTTAGGGGATTTTTCTTTTACTTGATTTCTTCTTTGATGGTGGATAGGGATGGAAGTTGGGGACTGATGAGAAGGCAGAGGTGGGCAGAGGCCGCCCATCCAGAAGAGGAATTTATAATGTAAACTAGTGACCTTGAGCTTTATCCAGAGAATGCCATGATTACACTGGTGATTTGGGAAGATTGGCTTCCCTATGAGGAAGAAATGAGGGTGAGAGCATCAGCTGACTGAGCAGGTAGCAGGTCTGACCTGGGCAGTGCCTTTAGTCACAACAAATACAGAAGGGTTCCTGGCAAGAGTATTACTTATGCTGGACTCTGCCCTAAATGATGCCATTGCACTTTAAAAATCTTGAAATATGTTTCAGATGTAAATTTCATTCTATATACATACCCATCTGTATGTAGAGCTTTAAAATATATGCTCTTGTGAATCCCATCTGCTTCAGGAATATTTGGAAAATCCTAGCTGACAAGTACAAATTTTTCATAATAAAATAAATAGTATCGTACTTATTGAACATTTTGTGTGACTTGTCATGAGGTTTCTTTAAAGTTCGGTCATCTGCGCATGATCATATTGTAATGGAATGTTTCTGCCATTGCTTCTACCACAGTGGATATTTGTTGAGCATTCATTACATTGATATAGAGTTAAAATTTTCAGTATTGCCCTAACGTTTATGAATGTCCTGCCGGATTCCAGGAGAAATTTACTGCACTAAAGCTGGAGTTACAAGCCCTGGGTTCTGCAATGTTACTCATCCTTGACTCTTGCACCCCTCCTCAGCCAGCCTGTTGTCATTCCTCAGCCAGTCCCTCCCAGCTTCTGACTCCTTCCCCGCCACTGCCTTGTGCTCTGGTTCAAGCTTTTAGCATTTTTTAACCTGCTGTGTCCTTACAAATGTCAACTTTAATTTGCAAAAAAATTGGATTAGAGCTATGTAGATGTAGTAGGTAATATATAAAGAAATAAGCAAATGTGAGTGTTATTCTTTCCACTTTTAAATATTCATGATTCTGTGATTACCAAGTATTTCATTTGAAAAGAGAAAACCATATGTTGTTTTTCTTCGATTTTATCCCTCTACTAGTAAATCAGTGCATCATTTTGAGTCAGAGATAGTGGTTATTTTAACTAGTAAGAGACAGTTTATCATATTTTTTAAAAATTGTATGTGCTTTTTTAATGTGGTAAAAAAAATCTCAAATAAAAATTGGGTGATTCAGGAAAAGCAGCAAGAGACTAAGTAAGTAAGAGGAATGTACAGCTTTATAATTAAACACAGTTCAGCTCTGTCTGTCCCTCTCAATGTCTACTAACTACCACCTTGGCAGAATAAATTCCTATATGCCTAAGAGATTAATTTCCTATTGAAAATAACTTTGGGTGACTGGAGGGAGAAAGCCAGGATCTCTGATAGCAACACAGTGCCAGAGAGGGAGGGCTGGTGGCCACACAGTAGGGCAGAAGCTCTGTGGAGATTAGGCAGGCAGGGCCTTGGCAGGATTCCCATTCTCACAGAACTGGCGCCAGCAGCGGCTCTTCAGCATGGAGAAGACAGAGGGGCCGCTTTCCCCAGCCCTCACTCCACTTTTCTCTGTGCCCCTCACAGCCACGTCCTGAGACTCTTAATGGCCAGCAGCCTACTTCTCAGATAGAACTGAACTCAGTCACAGTCATTATGCCTGTGTCTTTGCTGCTGGTCAGCCGACTGAGAGTGTGGAGACGGACAGGCGGTGCTCCTTCTTTCTCTTACCCCTCCAGGCCTCTGTTGAGGGTGCTCAGTTGCAAGGATTTGACCTATTGGGAAGTCAGGGACTCCTCTGAGAGCCTATTGAAAATGTTGAGCTTCTCAGGAAAACAAACTACCGTTTCAAAGTTTGCCAGCACATTTAGGTGGTTTTCTGGTGGTATTTGATCTCCCATCGATGAGATCACCAGAGCCTATATGAAGGAACTCTGATTACTAAAAGTGCCTTTAAAATTTTGCTTTCAAATTGAGCCATAAGTTTATGTTATGCAAAATAATCCTCAGCCATTATAGTTTTTAGTGGTAGTTCTTTACAGTTATATGCTACTAACCAGTGACTAAAACTTAGCTTGAGTATGTCATTTGAATAAAGAAAAATAAAATCTAACCCCACTAATACTGAGGTTTTGTGTTTCAGGTCTGACTACAGCCACATGTCCTCTACCAGCAGTAAGTACCATTTAAAAGTCTTCAGTATTGTCTGAACAGTCCCCCTCAGGGTCATCCCCGTGGACAGACATAGGTGGAGAGGCCCTTTTACATTAGATTGTTTTTTTTTTTTAAGATTTATTTATGCTTACAAGAACTGGGGTACAGGTGCAGGTGTTAAGAGAATTCACCAGAGACAGAGTGGGGAGCAGAACAGGTGGACTGACTGAAATACACTGCTGACACACGCTGTAACAGTAAGTAAGAATCACTGGTGGTATCCTCGACAAAGCCTGTGAGACTGTGTCCTAATTCTATTACTAGTTGAGGCTTTTCCTGGAGAATTTGGATGTTCATTTCAGAACTAGATACACCATTACTTTCACAGTGGGAATGCAGCCTGCAGGAACTAGTCCAGGTTTCATTAGCAAAGATGCTTCTAGAAATACCTTAGCTAAAGAATCTCAGTTAACTCCTTTACTCAACATTCTTCACATACCCCATTTGCCTGCAGCCTAATAGCTCCAGCACATTGTCAGCTCCATGGGGTTGCTCCAACTCCACTGTGAGCACATTTTCTCCCTTATATTTCCATATCTGCAGGCAGTAATCATAGATGATTATTTTAGATAATAAAAGAAAAGGGGAATATGTTATAAACTGTTTATAAACATACTGAGCATTTAAAAGGCACTTACCTTAAATATTAAATTACAACTAAATCTATTAATGCTCTCGTAGGGAGGAACCATTTACAGTGATTTAAGATCACTATCAAAGCCGTTCAGATTGATTGAACATTTTAAAATAACCAAAAAGTCTTACAAAGAAACCCTGATTTTGTTTTCTTTTTGAACCAGTAAATACTGAATTGCTTTATCCTATCTCATCATCCTGTTAAACTCTCAATTCTAAATAGCCCCCAAATGGAAAGACACTTAATTGGATTATTCTCTTTATTGATGTTCTGGCTTAGTTTTCTATGCAGTGGGAGACTACAGAAAGCAGTATATCTGGAATTGTAATTTAGTGTCAAATTATATGTAGTTATTAGTATAACTGCAAGAGCACTTTGTGATCATTTCAGCCAACTGGAGGCCCACCTTTGCCCCTTAGTTATTAAGAACCATTAGAAATAATGAGAATAATGCTACAGTGATTTGCATTCAGTCCCTGAAGCTTTGCATTTCTACAATCAGCAAAAGCTCTCTTGAACTCTCTGCCACCATTTTCATTCCACTCAGTTTTGCCCAGAGGCTACATTTCTTTAAGAATAATTTTTATAAAATACTTGTCTGAAGCCTTTGCTCAATTTATGGCTTACAAATCAGTCCTCTGGGTCACAACAAACACCTCTCTTGTCAGTAAAACCGGTAATTTGGTTTGGGATGTTTTCCTTTCCATTACTTTAATTGCGATCTGTTGAGTTGGAATTTCTCTTAGTGCAATTGGGATCAATACCCTTTTATTGCTTTATTTTCTTATTGAATCTATGTGTTTCTCAGCGATAAGGCCTGTTGGTGAATGAGGATATACATACACTTCATATTTCAGTTAGGACATATAGTAATACAGAAAAATAATGGCTCAAACAAGCAGGTTTCAATCCCCAGCAGTATTTAAAAGATAAGCACAAAGAGGGCAGTAATGATTTGGTTTGGAAACTTCTTTGGTTACCTGCCATACCATCCTTTGGTTTCTGGGTTGCCTCAGAGTTATAAGATAATTGCCTCTGCCCCAGCCATCATGTCCTGATTCTAGGCAGGAAGAGGGTGGGTAGATACTACCGACTCTTAGCTATCTTTGCCTAGATGTTCCCAGTCTGCCTTTGCACCTGAGCAAGAAGCCTAGATTCTGCCCCCCACTCCCGAATTAATGGCTCTTAAGCAGTGAAAGAAAGGCTTCTTCTTCTTGGAAGAAGAAGAAATAGAGTCCTAAAGTTACCCTTTAAAACATAGGTTCAACAGTACTGCAGTAATAAAAACTGTTTTCCAAGTGTATTTTAAAATTATTGTTTCCCTACAAACTAATCACCCTCAGAGCACGTAAGTAGAGGGATTGTTAATTTACCATCTTGAGTGATTAGGGTTTCCAGGTCCCTCACCCTGACTAGGCTCTGAGGTGCTGGTGCCCTCAAGCAGTCAGCAGGACCCAGAGGGCTGCTCTGTCACTGACCCATCCCCAGGCCCCACTGGTCAACTACAGCCCAGTGAGCAGTTCCTGCTCTCACTGTCATTCTGCTGCCATTGGTCAGCCTCTCTCCACTCCTGGCTTGTTTCTGAATGATTCCAGGTTCAGACGTAAGCATTCCTCACTCCACTCACTATTAGAAAATGCAAATTTTCTGTCTGAGAGTGGCTCTTGCTCAACTTACTTCACTTTATGCTCCTTTACTCACTTATTCCTGAGTTCACAGGGCTGTAAATACTTCCTTGGGGTGAACTCAGGCTATAGTGTCTATTTGTCCACAACTGGTCTTCTACCTCACTGGAATTGTTAGGAGAGCTCCTTCTACTCACTAGTTCATCATCATGTTTTCCCTCAGAACTGCCTCCTCAGGCTTTTCACACCTTGGGAGAAGAAAGGTCATTACCAAGAGAAAGTAAAGGGCAGTGGTGTGCCATCAGGTGCCCTGGGTTCTAGTCCTGATTTAGTCATGAATTAGCTGTGTGCTCTCCAGCAAGTCTTTTACCCTCTCCGGGCCTCAGTTTCCTCCTCTGTAGACTGAAGTGTTAGAGGTAGCCATCCCTAAGAACCATTATAGAAACTCTGGGTGGCTCATGTATCTTAAAACTTCTCTGAAAAGAAGAGGAATGAAAGATGAGGAAATCTGTACCTTTTCTCTGCTTTCTCTGATTGGAAATTAACAGTGTGGAGACACCCTCTCTGGTGGCCTGTGTGTTAATCATAGGGTGAGAGCCAATCAGAATCACTCTGAGTTTCTGTCGTGTGAGCTGCCTCAAGTCAGTGTTGGCTGAGACTGTGGGAGGTGCCCACTGCTTTTCAGCCCTCACCCTTCGAAGAAGTGAGCAAGGTCAAGGGTGTGTAGACATGTGGATTGTCGGGCACCCTGTTTTTCTTGTCTCATGTCTCATGTGTCACTGTATCACATTTCCAATGACTAAGTCCTCGTCACTTCCAGCACTGGGTGCAGTGGCTGAGGTACCGAAGGACCTTTTTAAATGAATGGGTTATAGTTTTGTGTGGTGAGGTTTTTTTTCTAGTTGCAACTAGTCCTTTTGAGTTGTTTGGGTTGACAGAACAAACCGACTTTGTTTTCTGAAAAGCGAAACACAGCACTCGTGAGAGCTTCAAAAATCGTGCTTTCTAATGAAGATGACTTTAGTTTATGCTCAGAATTTTAGGTTGTTTTTCCAGAAATCTGGCTAGAAGTTCATCAAACTACTATGTACCATTTGCATTCTTAAGTGATTTAAATAGAGAGGGGAAATTTTCTAAACAGGATAAGAAAAACAGTAATTATGCCAAGGGGAAAAATCAACCATGCCATGCAATGCTAATGAAATTCCCATCACATGTGATTGAATATTTCCTTTCAAGTAAAGATGATGATCAGGCTTAGAGAATTACTTTTGGAAGATGCCAGGAGCTTAAAAATGATATGTTTATCATAGTATTTATATTTCTTGAGAATCTCTGGCTCCAGGTTAATGTAAGAGCTGGTCAGGGAATTAACTAGCTCTCTTTGTTTAAAACAAAGGGCCTTCTCTATATATCCTCCTATTTCTACCCTAAAACTTCCTATTCATGACTTTTAGATATTATCATTAAGTCTTTACCTGGCCCTCAGACAGCATAGGTGTCTTGTGGGTTTGTGTCCCTTCATACTTTTCAAAGCATCACTGGCAAAAATAATTGATGTGGACACAGAGGAGCCTCAGTGATACCTGGAGGGTTTCTGTGGGCCTGTGGAAATTATGGAGAAATGGCCATGTGTGGTGTGTTCTGCTGTTTTGAGCCCAGAAGCACAAACCACGCTGTGCAAAAAAACACACATGGGCCTCCCCGGTGATGCAGTAGGTTAAAGCATAGCACCGAGAAGCTAAAGCCACTTCAGCATGAGTTCGAACCCTGCCCGCCTTGGAAGTGATCCACAGGGTGTGGCAGACCTCTCCTGACCCGCCCACTGCTCCCCTCAGCAGTGTACTTCATCAGTCGGCCTGTTCTTCTCCCCACTCTTTTTCTGGCGAATCCTCTCACTGCCTCTGCACCTCTGTCCTGTACCCCAGTTCTGTATACATAAATAAATAAATCTTTAAAAAAAAAAAAAACACACATGACAGTCGGGCGGGAGTCATGGAATCAGCCTCACTCTTCCAGACCTCAGTGTTACACATGCCCATCTAACTTTTTCCCTTGTTTTACCCACCTTCCTGCTCTGTCCTTGCAGTGAATCTGGTAACTTCCCCATTTTCTGCATTCCTACCTGCCTGCCAGAGCTTCCATGTGCTGCATGGAGTTGCAGCCTCATGGCGTTCCTTGGGCTGCCACATATGTAGCCTGGACAGCTAGGCCCAGCTGGTGCCACCGGCCCATAGCACACTCATCTTGAGGTGTTTTTCAGTTAGGAAAATCAAGACATCTTGTAAGGCTGGCCTATACCCACTTCAGGAGCTTATTGCCTGCTGCTCTGTCTGGAGGGACCACTCATCCTTTCAGAGGCTGCCGTTTTTTTCTCTCAGGGTCATCTTGCCACATAAATGTTGTCTTCTCTCTTTCATTTCTCAATAGTTTCATTATGCATTGTGGTTTTGGGATCTGAAGCATTTTTATTTTGTCTTTGACCACATCTGTACATCCTCGCAGCATGGAGGGAAAGATAAACTCATTATAATTTAATTAATAAGCAAATGTTAGCTTTAAAAGCAACACATCAAAAAGATGTTTGCTCACTATAGAATTCATCACTGATGGGGGATATTTGAATATATATGATTTGTGTCTCCATCGATAAGAGCAAATTCAGTTTTGTGATAACAGAATGTTTTTTTCTTTCTCTT